ATATGTCATATATATACAGTTTTTTTTTTTTAGTGCAAATATTAGTCTTTTTCAAGATGAGCAACTTTTGTCAGCAAAGCATCATATTTTTCACTAAGAATACAGATTGTGAGCAACCGTGAAGTGAACTACTTGAATGTTATTCGACTTACTACATTGATACTGCTGTATACTACTATGCTTTATCAGAAGTTACATTATTTATTGTGCCTTTCAAGTGAGGGTGTAAGAATGCTCACTGGGTTTGTTACGGTGGAAACCTCTTCTGTAAAAAACTATTAAATCTAGTAATTTTGCATTTGAGAAGAAATTAGGTGAACTTCTGCATCCTGAAGAAGTATAAAGAACATAGAATATTTGTCGCAATACTCAGATGTCATATAGCTTCAAATTTATAGTTAGTTCACCAACAAGGTGTCAAAGAAAGAGATGGGTAGTACTAGAGCAATGAATCTGTCCTGAAATTCCATTATTTGTTGTTGGTTTTAATTGTTACTCTTTTTACTATTTTAAATCAGACATCCTTGTACAAGAATACGTAAAATTTGGATCCTTGGACACATATTTGAAAAAGAACAAAAATGTTATCAATATCTTGTGGAAGCTGGAAGTAGCCAAACAGTTGGCATTAGCCATGCATTTTCTGGTAAGTAGATTATTCTTCAGTTTTGTTAATGGCTGAATTCAAGTGTTTCAGGCTAATATATGTAGAGTGACTGAGCTGTTACCCTACTTCTTGAAACTCTGGAGGGTATTTGAAAATAGGCTGGGCGTATACCAGATAGTTAGTGGATAGCCAAGGACAGACCTTTGTATCATGCACAAAGTGTAATTGAATTTCTCATTTTGTTTTAATGCTTTATGTTTTAGTGTGAAATTAAAACACATTTCTAGTAATTTTTTTTTTTTTCTTTTTTTTTTTGCCCCAGGAATCAGTCCTTCCTGGTTTTCCCACCTCAGCTCATGATGCTGAACATAAACTATTTTCTGGTAGTGTTAACAGTTAACCACTGGGAGGGGAAAACATTGTACTGTTCAAACTGCTGGTACATTCTTTTTGTGCATTAGGTCCCAACCTTACAGTTTGTTTAATTCAACGTAAAGGCCATTATTTTTTGGCCTTTACGTTGAATTAAACGTGATATGTCATTAGATGAATGTTCCCTTTAACAGAGCTTAAATGTTCTTATATTCATTTTAAATGGATCATACTGATGGATCAGTATTCTTCTGAGTTAAAATCAAATAGTTTCAAACTCGAAACTTTAGGTAGGTAATTAAAATGAATGAAAATTGGCTAGAAACTATAACTCTGAGAGGAACTGATGAAATGTCTGAGATTTGATCAACTTAATCTATGATCATTATTTTCTTTGCTGACTTTCCCCTCATGCTGTAAAGTATTGGTTTTTAAATACCTCTTCAACCATAAGATTTTTTTGTTAGTATGTAAAAGTTGCACTTCTCTTCGTAGGAGGATAAAGGCCTTGTTCATGGGAATGTCTGTGCAAAAAACATCTTGCTTATCAGAGAGGAAGACAGGAAGTCTGGAAACCTTCCGTTTATAAAACTAAGTGATCCTGGCATCAGTATTACAGTTTTGCCAAGAGATAGTAAGTCTCTGTGTCAGCTTTCTTGTTTAATGCTTGTGACTTGAAAAATAAGTTTGTTTGTTTCATTTTTTTCTGACTACCATCTAAGGTACTTTAGTTATAGTAAGTTCCTTCATCCATCTGTCACTTTAAAATAATCTCTGCTGTCCTAGTCAGCAGTTTTGAGTGTGTCTTCTTTATCAGCAAATAGCTACAGGAACTAAAGCCACAATTCTCCATTGTGTGAGGTTTTTCTCCCTGCTGTTCTCATTTTCAACTTTTTTTTTCACTGATAGTCTGTTAGTATGCTATAATGTACCATGAGTAAGTCTATTGCATCTGCAGGTAGCTGCTGGACGTAGTATCCTATTATTGATCAAGATTAAATTGTTGTATTTTATAGCTTGGAGAAGCTTTCAGAGCTGAAAGTAAATGCACTTTTGAAAATGCTGCCTGGCAGTTGAAAATCATCTTCAGTGCATTTCTTGGTGAATACCTGAAGCCACTTGATGATGCTAAAAATACTGGTTTATCATCTGCCATTGAAACTGTTCTAATGCTTTATAAACAGCAAAATTAATTAAATAAAAAGAAATTAAAAGTGTGTGCAAGATTGGTGGTATGCTAATGAAACTGAATTAAACTTACTATTTTTTATCTAGTCTTTTTAATCATTTGGGGAAAATGAACACACTTTCTGCTTGGTAATTTTATACATGCGAAAAGAAATAACACATCTAAGAGACTATAAGCAATGCAGTGTCATCATTTTTCCAATAAACTGTGTAAACTCTCCCTTTTTAAATGAGAAGCCTACATTAATCTTACAAGATCTCATTTTAAGGAGCTCTAAATCCACACCAGTACAATACCATCTTCTAACTTATTACTACAATCAGTATCAAAAGTTTAATCAAATAGTATGAAATTTCTTGTTATGGCGCCTTTTGCTGTGCCATAATGTGCCAACCACTAGCAAAGTACTTTTTACTCTTTGCCATCTAGTTCCTTTGTGGTAGCTACTAAATCTCGGTACCATTGGGGTAAATACAGAAGTCGGAGCAAAAATGTACTATGGGAATGATGTTAAGGCAGTTTTATAACATTAGACTTATTTTACAATAAAACTAATAGTCCTCCACACTGATTCATAAATACTATTTTTGTACATATTCTGTAGCTTTTTTTTTTAGGCAGGAATAAAAACTTGGAAAGGTATTAAAAGTACATTACAGAATGAAATACCTATGTATACTACAGTAATTTTTACTAAATCAAATACGTTATAGAATTTTCTGCTTTTATTATTCATCTTAACATGATGTTTCCTTTGCGTGATTGCACAGTTCTTCTTGAGAGAATACCATGGGTTCCACCTGAATGTATTGAGAATCCCAAACAATTAAGCCTGGCCACAGACAAATGGAGTTTTGGTACTACTTTGTGGGAAATCTGCAGTGGAGGAGACAAACCTCTGAGTGCACTGGATTCTTCAAGAGTAAGTATTACTGGGTCTGCAGTCATAATGGTTCTTTGGACACTTCTGATTTAAAACGTCTGCTGTTGTAACTACATAGCATGTAAAGTGGTGTGGCCCATGACCACTGTAGGGAAGTCGATAATGATCAGAAGGGACGATTTGAGGTTTGCTTTTATGTTGTTTGTTTTGATTTTTATGGGCACAAAGTACAGCGTTGCCAGCATTATCTTGTTCATGTCTCTCTTGCTTTGTTGCAACAGTGTATCACTTTAAACAAAAAGCATTCCTAACAATTTATATGGATTTTAATTGGCATTATTCTAGTAATTGAACATCTTAGATACTGTAAGACACTGTGTGTTGCACACGATTCTACTATTTTAGCTAAGCCAGAAATGTTAACTTTGTCTCAACTAGGGGCAGGGGGTGGAGGGGAAACACATTCCATAAAAATATTATTTCTGACATATTTGCTTCCTTGGTTGGAAGCAAAAAGATTATTTCCTTTACTAAGCTACAAAAAGATTTGTAGTATTATTTTTATAAATGGACTGTTACCTTCTCACAAAGCCTGATCTGATTTGTCAGGTGTTGTAATCTGCTCTTAGAATAAGCTCCAAGGTCTACCTAGACCTACCTTACAGATATCTAGGTAGTTCAGAAGTTGCCCTCCTCTCCTGTATTAATCCACATTCTTTCATAATACTCATGAAGCTTTTTGCAACTGGAGGAGCTCAGCCAGCTCACAGGTGGATAGAATTTTCTTCTGGACCCATCCAGTTGAGGTTTTATGAAATTACCAATAAAGGAGACACCATCTTTCTCATTATCTTTCTCTATTTTCTTATCTTCCACCAGTAGCTGTCTGGGAATTTCTAAACTGATTACTGTAAATTACGCCAGTCTTGCTACATTGTCAGCCTTGCTTTTGACATAAATTGGTCAGATCTACGTTCTGTGAGATAACAAGTCTAGGTTGAAAGCTGTATTTTTTGGCTGCTCTGGTGAGAATGTGAAGACTTCTGCAACTCTTCATGGTTGTATATTAAAATGGCTTTTATCTATTTAATTCCAGAAACTACAGTTTTATGAAGATAGGCACCAGCTTCCTGCCCCCAACTGGACAGAACTAGCAAACCTTATAAACAACTGTATGGATTATGAGCCAGATTTCAGGCCTTCATTTAGAGCAATTATACGTGACTTGAATAGTTTGTTCACTCCAGGTGAGTCTGTAATACAACAAGAATGCACTAGACAAAAAAACCTCTGATTCCTATTGGTTCGTTTTCATACAGTGCCTTTCTTTTTGATATGTTGACCCACAACCACTCTGCAAAGCAGCCTCAGAAAACTAAGTTCCTAAGGACACTATATTACTGCTTTCTAGTTTGTTCTAAAAGAAAACAAATTAAAAGTTAGCATTATTGTTCAAAGCAGTTTTCTGGTGTGATTAATGTCTATCCCAAACATTCTAGTTTCTTAACCAAGTATGTTATGTTTGCGACTGTCTTCCTTTTTTCTCTCAATAAAATAAATAGGTATCATTCTTTTTTCCAAGAGAAAGACATATGTTATCACAAGCTTTTGTGAAGTTTACATTTCTTCCCTCTGCAGTAGTGGAGTTCTTGCAGAATAATTGCTAAATTTGAAGTACAATAGGCCTGCAAAAAGGAAAATTGAGAAATTAAAGCAAGACTTGCTATGAGTCAAGACAAATCATTTGGCTTTTTTGTAATACATCTTTGTCTCTGACTGCAAATTACTATATAGAAATTAAGGTGGTTGTTACTATTCTACTGAGCTTGAGGTATGCCAAGCAAAAGTAGAACATGCCATGATTGTCATAAGTTTCTTCATTCTCCTATTTGCTTCTGAATGCCTCCTGTTCCCTTTCTCTCTTCCCTTCTTCTTCCTACCCCTCAGATTACGAGCTATTGACAGAAAGTGATATGTTGCCAAATATGAGAATTGGAGCACTTGGATTTTCTGGTGCTTTTGAAGATCGGGACCCAACACAGTTTGAAGAAAGACATCTTAAGTTTTTACAGCAACTTGGCAAGGTAGGATGTTTAGAAATTCTCTCATTGCCTAGGAAAGAACTATCTTTTTCAGTTATCTTCTGATGACTCCATATACATTATTTACATTGAAACTTCTGTTACAGAGATTAATAATTTCAGTCATATCTGACCACACCATGCAGTTCCTTTTAGATCTTTTTTCAGTTTCACAATATCATTAGATAGAAGAATGATAGCTGACCTCTACAATGAATCCAGTCACACTGAAAGGCTAAAATCTTTTTCGGTAATGCGGAGTTGCATCTGACATAATCTTTTTTTTTTATACTTCGTATTCCTTTAAAAATGCTCCAGAGCAGTCTTGCATAGAACTTTTGGGTTGGGTTTTTTGGGGTTTTTTTGTGCATGCACATTCTGAGAAGTCTGAATATGCAGTCCCTAAATTCAGTAATGTCTTTGAGATATATGTAGGCCTTGAACTTTTTAGGCTTTGGGAATCAGCATTTGGTTATTAGTTTTGCAAGTCATTGCAGCCTGGCTGCATGACTTAAAGTACTAGTGAAAGCAAGCCTGAAAGTGAAGTAGCAGAACTACTTCTATTTGCAGATGGTTAGTTGTTGACTGTAAGTGGTAGCATAGCATAGGGAGAGGAACAGAGTGGTAGGTGATGACTGCATAAAGGAAGATAAAGAAAATACAAACAGCGAAAGGGAAGAAGGTAGAACATTGAAACAGATGGGGGACGAACCATCAAGAAACAAGGAGAATTAATAGCCAAGAGGAACCTAAATGAAGGGGGTTTTGCAAGTGCAGGAGGAGGAGTATGCCAAGTGACCGTTTGGAAGCGCAAGTGGAAATTTGTGAAGAAGGGAGAGAAAATGAATCACCCCCTCCCCTTGTCCTCGTTTCCTCCCATACTGTTTGCTTCCTTTCATAGAACATGTTTCTTATTCTTACAGAACTGTTACCTGTGATCCTGCACTCTTTCTCGCAGGGAGGTTTTGTGGCATTTCACTTAAATAATTAATTGTGGTCGCCTTAATGCTAATACAGTGAGCACTGAAGCAGTATGAACAAACACTAAGAAAGAGACAATGATGTGGACTTGTTTTTAATTCAAGTATTTCCATTTGTGATCTAGGGAAATTTTGGCAGTGTTGAGATGTGCCGGTATGACCCACTGCAGGATAATACCGGAGAGGTGGTGGCTGTGAAAAAGCTGCAACATAGCACAGAAGAGCACCTTAGAGACTTTGAAAGAGAAATTGAAATACTTAAATCTCTGCAGCATGATAACATTGTTAAATACAAAGGAGTATGCTACAGCGCAGGTATGTACTATATTGAATACACCTTCAGGTGTACACCTAAGTATGCATAGTGAGAAGTTCAGAGAGGTAAGTGTTTATGAAAGTCACTGGCTTGTCTTAACTTTACCAGGACTTACACAATACGAATCAAAGGAAGTAGTGTCTGTCATATACTACTTCTCAGTACAAGGTGGACATTTTATTCAGTCAGCTCATTGCATAATTTGATTGATTTAGAGAAAGTATCATTTTGACTAGTTACCCCGTTTCTTTATCTTAAAGCATAAAAGTCTTCCTAGAAAAGAATTTAGGGTTAAGTGGGAAAATGCAACCATTTTGTAACTGTTGTTGTTTTTTGCTCAATGTCCCAGAGTGGATATTACGAATTCTTGTACAGCCTATACAGTAAAAGACTAGATAGGAAAAAGTTTCAGAAACAGATGTGTTTGAGTAAATTGTTGATGCTGTTGAAGTTGACAAATGAAAGCTTGGGTTCTGCCCAGGATCTTACTGTAAAAAGAAAAATCTTGGGTTCAAAATCAGACTAAGTTTTTAAAGATGGTAAAATTGCTGACCAGTTGATGTCAGATGCCATTCTGAGTTTCATCTCAGCAATGAGGAGGCATTACATAAACACAGATAATACACGTGGCACTTTTGCATTGCTTTAGCAATAGTAGCTGAAGTATTGATGAGATGATCTTGATTAGTGATGCTCTGTGTATCAAACATATCCACATTACTATTGTGTTTAAATAAATGGCATTTCCTGAACAAATGCAGTTAACTAATATATGAAAAATTGCATAGTGATGTACATATAATAAATTTGGGGTTTGGTATTAAGACTATTTGCTATTACTTTTATTCATAGAATTGGTAATTATTTATATTTCAAAACTTGTCATTGGAAAATGACAGAAAAATTAAGTGTATTTTTTGTTGTTGTAAAAGGTCGTAGGAATCTAAGATTAATTATGGAATATTTACCATATGGAAGTTTACGAGATTATCTGCAGAAACACAAGGAGAGGCTGGACCACAAGAAGCTTTTGCTGTATGCATCTCAGATATGCAAGGTAGGAAATTTCAGACAATTGATATTTTTCAACAAATTTTTGTCTCTTTGGTCTCGTCTCATTTGTCTCAAAAGAACCATCATTGGTTGTTTTGGTGTATCTTTTGTAATACTGTTGGGCTGCTAGCACCACATAACCCTAAAAAAAGTAGCAATACGTATTTATGTACTCCAGAACTGGACAAACTTCTGAATATCTAAATACAGGATGCTAATACTGGCCTGTTTGCTGACTGAGGCAGAATATACTGCATTTATTTTTGTTTATTTTATAGTTTGCTTAGCTTATATTTTGTTCAGAAGAATTAAAACCTCTTTTCTCCCTAATAAGAGCTGAAATAAAATTTTGCAGGAGTTAATATACTCACCCAGGCAAACTGTTAGTGACATAACTATAACTGATTTTGCAGAGCTTGGACATTCAGCTATAAAAACACTATAACAGCATGGATATGTTTAAGAAATTTACTTTAAACTGTAAATAGTATTAGCTTATTTAGCAGAAAGAGCGAAGATATATCATTTCTGTATGTAGAACTAGAGGCCATAGAAGTGCCCCAAGATGTAATAAAGAAGTCGCTAGTCTCAAGGGTTGGTACTGAACATCCTTCACAAATTTCTGAAAAGGGGGGAAAACATCTGATCTTCATTGTGATATCTCATTTCCACCGAAAGAGGGCTTATGCCTACCCTAGTTTTATTCTGTTATTATGCTTTAGATACAAGAAACTATAGACACTTTAGATTTCATTGCATGTTCGGTAGTTTGGGGAAAGAAAAGGAAAAAAAAAAAGGGTGAAGGGGCAACGGGAAGAGAGAAAAGGGAAAAAAAAAAAGAGACGACCCACACACACACCCCATCAAGGCATGTACCAAAAATATTTTTAAATTCCTTTCCCCAATACCCACATCAAAGACATGGAAACAGTAGGTTACTTAAAATTAATGAGTATTCTTCAGGCTATGTAGCCCACAGATATTCTTATGTCTGGTAATTATGCCCTGCCACATTCAGAGCAGAAGACTTTCCTTCTGCAATATTCGTAGAAAAGGCCTGACAAGAATTAGGCGGGACAGTCTCTGCCAGAGCCGAGATGTTCTCCAGACATTCAAACTTTCACCTGGTGAATAGAGCTTGATAGTTCCCTGCTTGAAACTCAACTGGCTGGGTAAACCTTTTAGCCACTGAACCTGGGGCATGGACAGAAGGATGCTGCATGCACCTTTAGCAGCTGATTTCACCTATTCATGTGCTTCACTGAAGCAAGGCTAGGTGGGTAGACTGCAGCAAAAACTCCTTGATGGGCAAGCAATGTGCAATGAGGTTGGAAAACAGAAAATGTTCACAAGTCTGTGGCAAGTGTCAGTCTTTTCACAGAGAGGAAGGATTGAACGTGTGACCACCCACTCAAAGAGGGTTGAAAAGCCCTCTGATCTGTGTGTCCAAAACAAGAAGTCATTCTCCAGTAACAGGTATAAGAAATTCTCTCAGTATTACTTCTGCAAGAAAGTAACTGTTACTATGAGTGCTTGTACGTCACTGAAAACAGCGTTCCTTCAAGCAAAGCGTTTAACACTCAGCACCACCTAGGAGGATGATGACAGTGAATCTTTCATAGAATAAAGATGCGACAGGGATTTTTGAACATGCAAAGGCTGCAGCAACTTACCTGTTTTATTCTGTGGCCATCTCAACCTATGACCTGAAGGGTCATAAGGTGCCTGCCCTGTTCACTCTCATAAGAAGCTGTGAAGCTTGCATATGTAAGTCTTCAGGCCTTATCCAAAGCTTTATCCAAAGCCTGAAGGAACAACAGTGGCAACGTATCTCAGGACCCTGGTCTCTGAGACAGAGGTATCTGATAGGAGGACTGGAAGGTGGATATTGGCCTTTGCAGGCAGTGCAAGCATGGCAGGAAACTTTGGGAAAGGAACTGTATTCAGAAAGTACAAAGAAAAAGGTTCTTAATGTGTGTGTACATACACATGTACAAAAGAAGCATCGAAATATTACAGATCTTCAGGATGGTGATGAAAAATCAAAATAGCAGATGAAATGACTGCTTCCTAAGTACCAAGCACCAACAAAGAGGAAGGGAGCTAGAATATGCCTTCTGCAGATACTTAAGTGGGAAAACAGCCTGCTTTCCTGGGACAAAGCATGGGTACACACAGTATTGGAATGTGGGAAGACCACATATAGGACTTGCTCTTAAAGAAATATCTTTTCTTCACTTCTAAGGGAAGCAAAGTCTAGGAATTACAGTGTATGTGTCTTGCGTTGCACTGTTGTTGCTGTACAACCTGCAAAGCAGAGGTTGTATTGATTGCTTTAAGATTTCACTCTAATCTGCAGGCATTCTGTTACTTCAACTTAATTAAAAACACCTAATACTACAAAAATGGAATCTGAATGCTTTTGCTTCTTTTAACTGATCACTTTTCCCCCTTCAGCTGTTTTTGCTTCTCTTGCAATGTTAGCTCTTTCAGCATCTCGCATCTCTTCTTTCTGCTGTGCATTTCTGTCACTCTGTTATTTTGGGTTTTTTAATCAAAAATTTTTCTCCCTCTGCTTTGCTGCTCTTCTCTCAAATGTATGAGACAAATGAAGGCATGCCCATACCTGAGGGTTAAGATGAGTGTGTTTGCTTGCTTGCTATGTTTTGGTTCCTTGCTACTTACTGGAAAAGGGTTCCCGACTTAAAGGTGATTTTTTTTGTGCGTATCTCATACTGTGAAAAGCAGCATTTTCAGAAATGGTATTTGCTAGTGGTGATGTTTCTGTAGATGCAAATTAGTGCAGCTGTCATCTGATGCAACTTGTGCCATTAGTACAGCTTGTCTGGTGGCAAGCAATAGGACTCTATGTTTAACTCTAAAGAATCCTGACAATAGAACGGCAAATAAGGAAGTTAACTTCCCATGCATCTGATTTTTGGGGTGTTCTTTTTTGCTCTTTGGGCCCTGCATTTTGTAAATGCTGGCTGATAGGAGAAGAGGCTAAGAATAAATCTATTTTTCCATCTCTTCATGCTTAAAGTGCTTCAGGTGTCCTTGCTGGAGAGCCCAACTTTAATCATAGAAACATTTGAAATCACATAATTAAACTCAACTCCATTGTTAGAGTAGTGCCACAGGATTATGATTTCCACTTAGAATTTGCATGATTACAATTAAGTATCTCTCTTAGAATGGATGTTTTCCAGACTAACAGAAAAATTACTAGGCCAAGAGAAATTTTAGGACTGTTTTCAGTACACTACGTGTTAGTAATGAAAAGTTACAGCACCTACATGGGCTGGTTGTCTCAGACGCCCGGAGTCTGGCTGGGAAGCCGCCGGGCC